TTTTCTTTGTTTTTCTTGTGTATTGTTCCATAGATCTAGCATCTCGAAGCACCCAAAAAAAATTATGAAAAAAAACTTATGAGGACCTTCGTAATAAGTTGGAGAAGTGTTACGTATAGTCTCACCATTTTTTCAAGCATATTTTTACATTTACGAACTAACTTTTAAAACTTATTCGACTTTTTTTATTTTCGTGTGTATTAGCCTATGGATCTAGCTTTCAAAGCATCCAATTCTTTTTCTATAAAGTTTTATAATGACCTCTGTTATCAGCTGAGGAAATGTTACGTACAGTGCCACAACTTTTTTAGGCATATTTTTGCATTTACAAGCAACCTTTTAGTAATTCAATTTCTAGATTTTTCGTGTGTATTAACCCGTGGATCTGGCACCTTAGAGCTCCCGAAAATTTTCTCTAAAATTTTTTTATGAGGACCTCCATAATGAGTTGGGGAAGCATTACGTAAAGCCTCAATATTATTTTCAAGAATATTTTTGCATTTATAAGCGAACTTTTAGGAATTACGCGACTTTCTTGATTTTTCTTATGTATTAGCCCATGGATCTAACACTTCGGAGCACCAAAATTTTTTCTGAAAAAACGTTATAAGGACCTCCGTATGAGTTAGGGAAACATTACGTACAATCCACAATTTTTTCAAGCATATTTTCACATTTACAAACCAATTTTTATAAATTATGTGATCTTATTAATTTTTTTTTATATTAGTCTATGGATCAAGCGTCTCAGGGCATCCAAAGAAAATTTCTGAAAAAAGTTTATGAGGAACTCCTTTAGGAGTTAAGGAATAGTTACGTACAGTTCCACCATTTTTTCTAGCATATTTTCGCATTTACAAGCCTACTTTTAGAAATTATGTGATTTTCTTGATTTTCATGTGTATTAGCCCATGAATCTGGCGCCTCGGAGCAGCTGAAAAAACTTTATAAGGATCTCCGTAACGAGTTGGGAAGCGCCGCATAAAGTCCCACAATTTTTTAGGCATATTTTCTCATTTACAAGCCAACATTTAGGAATTATGTGATTTTCTTATTTTTTTTCGAGTGTTAATTAGCCCATGGATGCCTTAGAGGACCCACAAAAAAATTATGAAAAAATTCATGAGTACCTCTGTAATTAGTTAGGAAAATGTTACGTACAGTCTCACCGTTTTTCAGTCATATTTTCACATTTAAAATCCAACTTTTAGGAATTACGCGACTTTCTTGTTTTCCGTATATAATTAGCCTATAGATCTGGCGCCTCAGAGCATCAAAAAGAATTTTCTATAAAACATTATGAGAATCAGTTGGGGAAGCGTTTCCTACACGCCCATTATTTTTTCTGCATATTTTGCATTTACAAGCCAATTTTTAGTAATTATGCAACTATCTTATTTTTTTCGTGTGTTAATGCCCAGGGATCTGGTGCCTCAGAGTACGCAAAAAAAAATTCTGAAAAAACTTTATGAAGAGGTCCGTAATGAGTGGTGGAAGCGTACTGCCTCACCATTTTTTGAAGCATATTTTCGCATTTATAAGCCAACATTTAGGAATTACACAGCTTTCTTGATTTTTTTTGTGTATCCCTTGAATCTGGCGCTTCAAAGCACCAATAAAAAAATTTCTAAAAAAACTTATGAAGATCCCCGTAATGAGTTGGGGAAGAGTTACTGCATTTCTACTTTTTTTTTCCAGGTACATTTTGCATTTACACGCTAATTTTAGAAATTACGCGACTTTCTAGATTTTTCATATGTTAATGCTCATGGATCTGGTGTCTTTGGGGAATCCAAAAACATTTTCTCAAAAAAAATTATGAGGAGTTCTATAATTAGTTGGGGATCCTTTAATTCCTACCGTTTTTCAGGCATATTTTCGCATTTTCAAGCTAACTTTTTGGAATTACCCGACTTTCTTGATTTTCGTGTGCATTAGCCAATAGATCTGGCGCTTCAGAGTACCTTAAAAAAATTTCTAAAAAACTTTATGAGGACCTTCGTAATTAGTTAAGGAATCGTTACGTATAATTCAACCATTTTTTAAGTATATTTTCGTACAGTCTCACAGTTTTTCAGGCATATTGTCACGCTTCGAGCCTACACCCTAGGCGAGCCTGACACTCGAGAACCATTGTTGGCCTCAAGCGAATCCTTGGCATGACTTAGCAGAAGACTATAAGCATTAAGAAAGGAATTCAAATGCTAAACAAACTTAACTGTCTCAAACTGAAATCATAATGTTTTGAAAATAAACATTTAACTTAGTCAAAATGGCAACTCAAATATGAACATAAGTCAATAACAAAATGATGACGAATTAACTAACATCCGATTTACTATCTATGAAGCCTCTAAAACAACTAAGATGGATGTCGGGACAGTCCCACGACATCCTAGCGAATTGCCTAATACTGAAAGTAAACAAAAGGGAACCTTCGTAATACAAAGAGGCTCACCAACAGACTCTGAACTGCTCACTGGATCAACGATGCACTGGATGTCAATCTTAGTTACCTGCGTCTGCATCATAATACAATGTAGTCCAACTGGCATCAATACATTGAATGTACGAGTATGCGAGTTGGAATGCTAAAACAACATAGGCTTAAAAAAAATCTGAAAGGAACTGAAGAACTTACCTGGCTCAGCTCGGCTCAACTCAACTCAACCTAACTGAACTCATTTCAATATAAAGTAGTTTAAAACAAGTGCAATATAAAGAAAAATTGTTTAAAATATGATGTCAACTCATAATATCATAAAAGACATACCATGCTCCCTCTCAAAGTCTACTTGTTCAATGCATGAATGAAGTCTCATACCCCCATTCATACTAAGTAGAACCCCTTGATGAACTATGCAATTACAGTTGTTGGAGTTTCTCTAACCGACAGCCATCACTTAAGAGTTATAGTGATGATACATCGATCTACCTCACGCTGCCAACGCATTCTATACCCGGCCAAAGGTATAAAACCTGAACTACTAAGTGGATCCACTAGTTTATGCGAAAATGATTCATCTAAAAAGTATGACCCTTTTCTACCCATGATGGCTGCATGGTTTATGGAGACGTGAGTTATCTGAACTCAAGCTCGTCCCCATATCGGTGCTCAATACTACTCCCAAAATATGATACTAGCTCTTTATGTTTAAAACATATTTCTTTATGTGATTTAAGATTAGTGCTCAAAAACTTAGCTCAAAGGCTATCTTGAAAATCAAAGTTTCCCCTCTTACTTCATTTAGAAAGTGATTACTCTTTTCTGAAAACTAGCCCGAAGGCTCTTTGAAAATCTCAGTTTCCGTTCTTATATAAATGTGAAAACAGTTTAAATCTCTTTGGGAATACTTAGTCCCCTTATACTTTTGAAGAAATAAACTTCAACTTTACTCTTTATTGAACTCAAAACTTAAGTCTTAAAACAAGGTTAAAACGTTTGCAAAAGACTTTTGGAAAACTTTGTGAACTTCTCTTAACTTGACTCTTGACTTCTCTTGACTTTGATCTTAACTGCTCTTTGACTTGACTCTTAACTGGTCCTTGAATTGCATTATAGATTTAAGGATTGTGATTTGTGATTGGAAAGATCTCATGATGTTTAAGAATGATTTTAGATAGCTAAATATGAGAAAAAGACCAAAAATAAATATTTGAAGATGGGTCCGCGACGTGAAGAAGCTTTTAAAATTTAGTTTCGAAAATGACTTTTAAGGCAGAACGCTCCGTGACAGCTTCGCGACGCGAAACAGAAATTCCCAAATTTGGGAACCAGCTACGCGACGTGGAGGCAGTGCCGGACTTCGTCCGACGAAATTTTCTTCTTCGTTTTTTGGCTCTAAACCCTCTAAACTCCATGGGTTCCTTTATCCAACACTTGGAATCTATTAAATGTTCAAAGTACATCAGATTCTACTCAAAATCGAACATAAAATCACAGATTATGATCAAACAACTCCTCAACGAATTCAACGAAACAAGAATCTAATGAAACTTTAACAAACCCATCAAGAACTCAATTTCTAAGCTTTCAATAACTTAAATTCGCTGAAATAAATCATGATTGGTGCATGGGCGAATTAACCCAACGCTATGTAATCTCACATACCTTGTAGGGATCACCCCCGACGAAATCCACAAGCCAAACTCGACGATCTTGACGAATCTTGAACGTTCTTCTCATTTCTCCTTTTTTCTCCTCTTTTTTTTCTCTTCTCTCAAAACCCTAACTTTTTTTTCAAAAGCGTAAACTGACTAAGATCAGTTTAGACCCCTAACTAATTACCAAAAATGAATTAAAATAAAAGGGTAAGGAAAAGACCAAACTACCCTTCTAAAATCCGGATTGGACTTTCCTTATTTCAACAGCCCAACTTCCAAAGGGCATAACTCACCTACTTTATTCATATACTTTTTTAACATTTGATAGTTTTTTTTACTATCCTGTATAAATTATTTACCTTACTAGAAATAGTTTTTAAAAATTATTTGTCAATTAACAAATTAAACTATAATTTTATTTTTAATTTCACTACACTAATAACTAAATTCTTCTTGAAATATAACAGAGTTAGTAAAATTACTAAAAAAATCTCGGAGTAAAATTAGTTATAAATTTTTAAAGAAGCCGTAAATCCAAAAAATAAAAAACGTACTTTTACGCAAGGGGCATAAATAGTATGTTTTTTCTTCTCAATAATTTAATACTATTTTTCTATCCTGTATTTTTATTTACCTTACTAAAAATTGTTATTAAAAATTATTTGTCAATTAACAAATTAAACTATAATAAATTTATTTTTGATTTCACTACACCAATATAATAATGTGAAATTCTCATAGCCGAGCTAATGTGCCTCAAGCCCCAGGCCACCCAATCCCTTTTTGGGACGCACCACGTTTGACCCAATTTTCCCAAACAAGCGCTGTGCAAACTACATGTTTGATTGGCCAATGACAGGCGATCGAAAATTCTTCCCTTGGAGTTCTGCTACGACTCTTGAAGGACTGCCCTTGTATTCTCTTACCTATATAACGAAAATTCTTGCTAATACTTACTGAAGTACACACGTTTCACTGGATAATTGTATCGTAAAAATCCTAGATATCCATTACTCTCTCTGTTTCAATTTGTTTTCTTTTTATTTGACTTGGCATGAAGTTTAACACAATACATAAGACTTTTGAATCATGCATCCTAATGTACCAAAATGTCCTTTAATCTGTGGCCTTGAACGAACATGCCATGTGTGATGTTTAAATTAAAGAGTTATACATTCTTTTTTAACCAACTAAAAAGATAGTAAGACAGACAAATTGAACTAAGAGAGTATTAAAAACCACCCACCAAAACAGGAAATCACCACCATACCACGTGAATATGCTGAGAGATTAAGCATTGACTTAAAATTAAAGTATTTCCAACAGTTTGGGTTGAATAAGAGTGTAAACAAAAACAAGGATAAACAAATACAGGGATGCAGGTTCTTGTCCAAGGATTCCTGAACTCAGTATCATCAAGTTTTCTTATCTGAATTAAAAGAAAGCATGTTAACCACAAGCTTGGTCCTTCTCCAAAGGGAAAGAATAAAATAAGAAACTACCACCATCAAGGGAGTAGTTACAGATTTAAACATTCAATGATTAATGAAACTTGCAAAACACATGAATTACTTGCAGAGGATATTAATAAAAAACGACAAATAACCATTACTTCCAATGGTTAATGAACCAAGGAACTCAAAAGTTCAGGAAACTCACCTATGCGATAGGGTCGAACTCCTCAATAAAATGAAGATAGCAATATGGAGTTTAAAACCCATTAGATAATGACGCAGATAAGAAACTTACGGTCAGGGCCGACTCAACAACATTGGGGGCCTAAAGCCAAATCATAGAGAGGGGCCCTAAAAAAATTTTAAAAAATCATTCTATATACTTTTATTTAAAATCTACTTTTCTAGCATTTTTAGATGCGAATTCATTAATTACTGTTTTTATAATCGATTTGTTTTAGTAATTCTTTTTCAATTGATAATATAGCTAATCCATTCAATCTCTCTTGAGACATTGTTTATCTTAGATAAGATTTTATCAATTTTATTTTCGAAAAACTTCTTTCGGCTGAGGCAATGGTTATAGGAATTGTTAACATTATTCTATAAGCAATACATGCATTAGGAAAAGAATCAAGTCTTTTTATTAGATTGAGTATTTCCATTAGATCATTATTTTCTACTTGTATTATTTCTCTTAACACTTTTAATTCAAAAAATAAATCTAAACCATTAATATCAAAATAACTACTATGTGTTAAAGAAAGTTCAAGGTTAAGACAGTGCTATTTTAAATTCTCATCTTATGCTAAATAATTTACAACAAAAACAAAAAACTTTATCCAAATCTTTAGAGTAAATTAACCATTTTCTTTCATGTTTTTCTCCATTTGCCAATTTTTGAATATAGTGTGTTGTAGAAAAATATCGTAAGTGTTTATCCTTTGGAAAATTTATATTAATCATTCTAATTGGTCCCTTTTATACTAATAGATCTCTCAATTTTGTATCTGTATTATTCCATTGACTTGGGTCATATATATTTTTATGGATGCAACTATTTAAATTACTTAGGAGTTCTTAATTATAGGGAACTATGTCACATTTTTCACCAACTTCTTCTAGATTTTCTTCTTGGATGTTATTATCATCTAACTCAATTCGGTTAGTGACTTGTTCATTTGAAGAACACCCTCCAATATTTTTTGATTTAGAATTTTTATTATTTGTTAAAAATCTATCAAGGGCTCCTTTTTGGGGATTTATTTAATTCCTCTAGTTTTCTCTTTTTCTCTCTTTCTGTAAAACTAGAATCATATTTTCTAGTTGACATATTTAAATTAAATAAATTGTAATAATAACTAAAACAAGAATATATATGCTTATGAACTAAGAATATCAACAATAACAATTTTTTAAGAAAAGCTATAAAATAAAGTTAGAATAATAAAACTTGACTCACGAATTTGATAAGTTGATATAATAATATCGAAATAATGGTGTGTTTCTTGACTCCTTCAATAGAATGATTACTGGTTGCACTTCTTGAAATGCGCTGAAAATACCCAAAAGTAAATTTTTGTTCTTTTGTAACTTCAAACTTGTAAGCAATAGTATATCAAAAGATTTTGTAGGAGAGAGTTCAATATTGAGAATAAAAATAATAAAATAGAGAATAAAAAAGATGAGTTTTAAGGTATATAATAATATATGGTTAAAGTCTTGGGAGATAAATAAGGAAGCATCATTTCTCACTCCTGGAAATTATTCCAAAAATTGTTCATTTCCTTAGACCCTAATTAAAATTAAAAGCACTTTACCTTTTTTTTTTTTTTTTTTTGCACGTTTAGTATTCCCAAAAATTGTTCCACCCATTCCTTAATTAAAAACTATCAAACTAACGGTACTTTTACCTGTTTTTTTTTTTTTTTTACTTCTTGCACCTTTTTTTTAAAAAAAAATTAAAAGTAAATATAATTTTTTTAAGTATATATATAAGTACTTTTTTTTTTATAAATGGGCCCCCCCATAAATATGGGGCCCCAAGCGGTGGCTTTAGTGGCCTAGTGGTTAAGACGGCCCTGCTTACAGCATACTTCATGTCTTCATAATTTGTGTAGTCCACCAAGCCAAAGGTTCCAGATATGGACAAGAAAAAAACCATGGAGCATTACACTTTTTTAGAATTGGTAACATTATATTCTTCAGCATTAAGGATATGCTAGAGACCTTTGAATAACAAAAAGAGATACAAAAAGGATCCTAAGAATTCTAAAAGTTGATCTGAATCCTCTCTACTCCTATCTCGTTACACCAAAAATATAGACATACAATGCAATTCCATTGAACTTCTTTTTTTTTTTTGACAAAGGTAACAGGTTATTCCATTTAACTTTGTAAATGGAATTGAATGTATCTTCGAAATTCCTACTATTCCTCTTCCACATTGTCCACCAAAAGCAATGTGGAATTAAACTCCACCAAGTCATAATTATGTCTCTAGAATGGAGCATTTTACTATGAGGAGAAAAATAGTATCACTTTTCATATAAAGCATATGTCCTCATCATCAGAAATAGCAAACAAACATAAGAATTCGATCAATACCTTTTGTGCAAGCAACACACAAATTTGCAGGTGCATTAGTCTAAACGATTAAAACTGCATGAAAGCACGAATTGCCAAAGTTAGTCACTTAACTATGATGTAATCAGTAGCCCATCTTTATTGATCCTTAAAACGTTAACAAAATCAGATTAATAGATGAACCATACAATTTCCCCTTCTCTTATATGGCACAATTTTCCACTTTTAAGAAACAACCAAAAGTCAAAAAAGTCTAGCCCATGTAAAGGGAAAATGGCCAGCGAAGGCGTTCACAAAAATCTGTCCAATGACTGTCTACACTCAAATTACTACAAATCACAACTTCTTATAATTAAACTACTTGATTTTTTAAAAGTTGTGTGAGTAAGGCCTTCAAGAACGACTCTACATCTTTCTATTCAATACCTAGTAAAATCATAAAGAATAGTGAAACTTTGAGTACCTTGGTGGCACCAGCCTCGAGGTCGTTGAAAACCAACTCCTCAACAACCCTTGTGAAATAATACAAGATAACCCCTATGACTGAATTGAGCTCCAAATAGCCTCAAGCATTCGCTTAATGCTCCACATCTCGCTCAAAGGGTAAAAACAAATTCTTGAACATCCTCAACACACGCTGCAACAATATATAACAAAAAGGAAGCATATACTGTCTCCATAAGCTGGGCTAAAAGTACCTAAGCACCAATATGTATGTTCCAAAACCAACTTCAGCTAGAATAAATAATCAAAACATCTCCTACATACAGTAGTCAGCAACATACTAGTTTTCCCAATTACAAATAGAACCGCAAAATAATAATAACATCCGTAAAAAGACACTAATGAACACAAATCGTCAAACAGCCAATCACTTCTGTAATGTTTAATATATTAGAATATTATTTTAATATATTTATGGACAAGATATTATATTGTTATGACTTATGATTATGGTATTATTATTTTTCTTATGAAATATTAATTATCTAAATCATAATTAGAATATTATTTTAATCTATTAAATTTTAGCCATTGATTTTTATCTATGCCATGTGTTTCACATCCAAACAAAAACTTGGAGAAAATAGAGGGAAGGGAAATGGAGAGGAGTCGGATCCGTAAACTTGCTACTAGAAATTAAAAGGAAGAAAAAGACGAAAAAAGGAAAAAGTAACATAAAAAGGAAGAGTATAAAACATTATTTTTTTGTTTTTACTTTTTCTTTAATCACTTCTCTCTCCTTTTTCTTTTTTATTTTACATTATATATATAATTAATGTGGGTATAATAACTATGTTAAAAGTAAATTAGACAATATTTTATAAAAAAAAATAATTAAAATAGCACATAAATAAGAAGAATAGCACATAAATAAATGGGCCCAAATGAGGTAGGTAATTAATGGTGTTAAATTGACCAATAATATAAATTTTAAAGGTATAACCATAAAAAAAGAATGTACAACACTATCTAAGCACATATCATCCAACACTTGTCATGTGCTAAGTAGTAGATATTTCCACTTATTATATATAGTAATATATAAATGGGCCCAAATGAGGTAGGTAATTAATGGTGTTAAATTGTCCAATAATATAAATTTTAAAGTTACAACCATAAAAGAAGAATGTACAACACTATCTAAGTACATATCATCCAACACTTGTCATGTGCTAAGTAGTAGATATTCCCACTTATTATATGTAGTAATATATAAATAGTCCCAAATGAGGTAGGTAATTAATGCTGTCAAATTGTCCAATAATAGAAATTTCAAAGGTACAACCATAAAAGAAGAATGTACAACACTATCTAAGTACATATCATCCAACACTTGTCATGTGCTAAGTAGTAGATATTTTCACTTATTATATATAGTAATATATATCTATATATATATAATATAAAATAAGCCACAATGCAAAGATTTTTATAGTATTTAGTTACATTGTAACTATCTTGTTAGCTTTCAACCAAAAGAAGTACATCTTTTAAATAATAAATATGTCATTGTATGAGCTATTTATTACTCATTCCTTTTGAATTTGTTAATCTGATTTTGATCTGACACATAGTTTACAAAAGATTATTAGATTTTGAGAAAAAACATTAAGTGATACTTGAAACTGTCCCAGATTTTCAAAAAAACACCTTAACTTTGTGTGCGTCTTATTAACCCACAAAACATTCAAAATCACAATAAATACACATTTTTTACACAATATTTTCACTTTGGACAAAAATATCCTTCGAATGTGCAATTTCTTAAAAACAAAAAGTCGAACCCATTATTGATGTATTGAAGGATGCTTTGGTAATTTCCTATGATGAATTCGTTTTGTTTGTTTCTTTTAAATTTATTTTACTCTACTAAATAATTGTATAAAATATTATGAATCACGATAATTAATTACTTAAATATTTAAAAGATATAAAAATATATAAAAGATCTGATTGACTCTTCAAATTTTACCGGTGACACATAAATTGAGACAAATGAAATAATATATATTATTTGAAAATTTCTTAGAAAGTACTATAAATTACAGTAATTAACAGCTAAAAATATTTCAAAGACAAAAAAAATTGATTGAATCTCAATTTTTTTTTTAGTACTACATAAATTGAGAAAGAAGGGATGACCTCTATTATTTGAAAATGACGTAAAAGTATTACAAATCATACAAAAAGAATTAAAAATTTAAAATTTTAAAAGACTTTAATGCTTTATACTTATTCTATTTCCACTTTGGACAAAAATATCCTCCTAATATGCATATTTTTTAAACAAAAAGTGGGACCCATTATTGATGTATTGAAGGATGCTTTGGTAATTTTCCTATGATGAATTTGTTTTGTTTGTTGTTTAATTTTTTTTAAATAATTGTATAAAATATTATAAATCACAATAATTATTTACTTAAATATTCAAAAGATATAAAAATATGTAAAAGATCTTATTAACTCTTCAAATTTTATCGGTGACACATAAATTGGACAAATGAAATAATATATTATTTGAAAATTACTTAGAAAGTACAATAATTTACAATAATTAACTATAGAATATTTTAAAGGCAAAAAAAATTGATTGAATCTCGAAATTTTATTAGTACCACATAAATTGAGAAAGAAGAAATAACCTTTATTATTTGAAAATTGTGTAAAAGATATTACAAATCATACAACAATAATTAGCAATTTAGATAATGATAAGGGGTAAACTATCCATTGATTTCATAAAGTGCACAAGTATTGTAGGACATTCCAAAATAGTATAATAGACAATAATTATTGGACGGATGGAGTAGGATTAAGTCTTTCTTTCAGTACTTTTCTCACATTAATTAATTTCTCTCAGCATTCAATTAGTTAATCTTTAGTAGAATTAATTAGAATACTTTTTACTTAATACAATAAAAGTTCAAATAAGATTAACATAAAGAAGAATAAAAAAAATCCTAAAAATCTATCAATATATTAAACAACATACAACATATATAACAAAAGTTCTAATAAGATTAACAAAAAGAAAAAAGAAAAAAATCTTTAAAATCATCAACAAACTACATACAAAATAAAAAGAAAGCTATTCCAACAAAAGAATACGTAAGGTTAAAATGAACTTTAAGAATTCTAGCATCTTAAGCATATTGAGGCAAACATTTTAATTTAATGTCATTTCTCTCCAAAGAAAGAAAGGCATTGAATATTTTCATTTAATGTAAAATTGAATTTTTTGGGGTTATGAATATAAAAGGTTTGAAAGTTATGAATATTATTAATACTAATTAAAAGTATAATTTATGAAGATGGAGAAGTGTGAGTTATGAAAATAACTTTAAAAATAATATAATTGAGAAAAATTCAAAAAAGGAGAAAAAAGAAAAATGACAATGAAGGTCATAGAGAGCGTCACATCACCATTTAAGATAGCTCTACTGATAATTGTGAAGAAAGCATACTAATGGATTAAAAATCAAAAAGAGGTAATTAAACCCTAAAATATTATAAAGACATCTATAAAATTTGGTTGAAGCTCAAAATCTATTAGTGCCATATAAATTAGGATAGAGGAAATAACATAAATTATTTGAAATAACATGAAACGTATTACAAATCACACAATAATTAGCAACTTCAAAATTTAAAGGACATACAAAAAATTTGATCAACTCTCAAAATTCTACTAATGTCACATAGTTCGGGATAAAAAAAGTAACATATACGTAAAATGTACTATAACTCATAATAATTATATTACTTCAAAATCTAAAAGACATATACAAAATTTGCTTGACTTCCGAAATTCTATAAATGACACATAAATTGGGACAAAGAGAATATTGAAAATTACATATAAAGTATTATTAACCACAATAATCAACAACTTAAAATTTAAAGAACATACAAAAAAATTGTTTGACCGTTAAAATTTTATTAATGTCACATAAATTAAAATAAAAAATAAAAATATATGTTGGGCCCGTGCTAGCACGGGCTACTGTAACTAGTATATATATATATATTAGATATGGGACCCCGTGCCAGC